AGATTACAAGTAATTATGCATAAGTACAACTTATTAAAGCTCGATGTTTGAATTCGTATAAATAACTGCGGATAAACATAATCAAATAGATGATGAACATCTCATTTTAAAATATAAAAAATATAAAATATAATTAGAATAATTATCAAGTTCCAATAAAATAAATAATTATTATCTTTATAAAAATATTATATTATTAAACCATATATAAATTATTTCGTTATTGTACATAAATTAAATTATAAAAAAATTGAATTAAAAAATTACACAAAAAAATGAGAAATTTCAAATAGTTAATTTGATACTAATATCGATATGTTTTTGTCAAATTTTTATGATATCTTCAAACATATATTTTATTAAAAAATAAAAACATCATCGCTTTCTTAAAATCACATAAAGCCATATTATAACATCGACTGGGATAAAGAATAAAATAAAATATTAAAATCACGATGTATCTCGCTGCATTATGCGAGTACGCTTCTAGTAATTTTTAAATACGTGTCAGATGAGTTGATCCATCACCATTTTTTAATTCTTTTTTAACTTTACAAGTTATTATTGTATGGGGTATAACTACATACAAATACTATAAAAATAATCTATATTAATAAGACAACTTATGATCTCCTAATAGTTTAAATCCATTCTTTATGATTTTTGACATGTTGCGCTTGTTTCATGTGTTTTCCTTTTACTCCCAAAGTTGTTTAATTCAACCTAAATATCTATTCTACATTATAAAGCATCTGACAAAAACTCTTAAAAATAATTTTTTATGCATGAAGTACTGGTTATTGATGCATATTACTTAAAATTCAAGATTACAAATAATTTTTGCGTAAGTATAACTTATTAAAACTCCATTTTTTAATTTGTGTAACTAACTGCAGATAAACATAATCAAATACAAGATAAACATCAATTTTAAACATAGAAAATCTAATATATAATTAAGATAATCATTGAGTTATAAAAAAATATTTTATTATTATATTTATAAAAAAATATCTATATTATATTATAAAGCATTTAATAAAAGCTCTTAAAAATAATATTTTATGCATGAAGTACTGTATATTGATGCATATTACTTAAAATTCAATATTACAAGTAAATTGTGCATGTATACAATTTATTAAAACTTTATTTTTTAATTCGTGTAACTAACTGTAGATAAACATAATCAGATATAAGATAAATATCTCATTTTAAATATAAAAAATTAAAATATAATTAGAATAATCATTGAATTTTAACAGAATACCTAATTATTGTCATTATAAAAATTATATTATTAAATAAAAATGAATTACTTTATTATTAAATCTAAATTAAATTATCTATACTATATTATAAAGCATTTGATAAAAACTCTTAAAAACCATTTTTTATGCATGAAGTATTGTTTCTTGATGCATATTACTTAAAATTCAAGATTACAATTAAATTTTGCATAACTACAACTTATTAGAGCTTTACATTTGAATTCGTATAACTAATTACGGATAAACATAATCAAATAGATAATAAATATCTTATTTTAAAATATAAAATATAATTAGGATAATTAT